ATATTTTTGCAACTTGTATGTGTATTGGCTCCCAGAAAATATTTCTGTAACAGTAATATATAATGTAGGACAGAGGGTCATAAAATACAAAACCACATCATTTTGATACAAGTTAATAGATTATTTTTAAAGCAGTTCTTCACCTTTTTAAAAAAATTAAAAGTTAGCAACTACAAATACTACAGCTGCTGACTTTTAATAAAAGGACGCTGTCCAGGGATCCAGCACCGTCCTTGCTTAAACAGGTTCTTCGCCAGTCTTCAGGTCTCCAGCGGTAGCAAGATTCCTTGCAGCTTCACAGCTGGCTTCCCACTGTGCATGTGTGAGCTGCGCTGCACTTTGTAAATGGTCTCGCAACCTTCTGGGACCTGTGACATGTCCCAGAAGGTTGCAGGGAAGAACTTCAGGTGAATACACTGCAGCAATCCGACTGGAAGTGGTAGCGGGTACCTGTCAAAACCAGGTACCCACTACCCCCCCCCTTCAAAAAAAGTGCCAAAAATAGAAGAGGAGGGAGGAGGAGGGCAATGGTGTGTTTAGGTTTTGTGCTGCCCTAGGCAACACAAAAATCAACCACTGCCTCCACCCCCCCACTTCCCTGCCCCAGTGGTACTGCCCACCCTGAAAAATGCCGCCTTGCGGTATCTCCACCAAGTATAGACCCCCCCTCAGTACAGACCCCCTCTCCACCAAGTATAGACCCCCCTCCCCACCAGGTATAGTTCCCCCTCATTACAGACCCCCCCCCCCCCTAAGTACAGACCTCATTCCCCTCTAAGTATAGATCCCCCCCTTCCTCAGTATAATCCTCTCCCACTAAGTACAGACTGTTCTCCATCATTATAGATCTCCCCTTTCTCAGTACAGACCTTTAGTACAGACCCCCACCCACTATCCCCACACTCCACTGTGCTAGCATAGATCCTCTCCCTCCCCTCCCAAAGTTCCCCCGCTAGCACATAACCTCTTAACCCACTTGTGCTAGTAAGGAGCACACTCCACTATCCCCTCCACTTGTGCTAGCATAGATCCTCTCCCCTCCCAAAGTTCCCCCCTAGCACATATCCTCTTAACCTCCCAATCACTCCCCCCCTTCTCGTGTCACTCTCTGTCCCCCTCCCTCTTGCCCAGGAACAATATAAAAAAATCGGTACAGACCTCAGATCAGCTTTACAGACATGCACAGCGGAGTGCCTCCAATCCTCCCTCCTCCTCTCATGTACATGTAGACAGCAGAGGAGAGGGAGGCGACTTCGAGTGCGCTCTGCTGGGAGCCAGAAGGACACAGAAGCTGTGGATTATCATAGCTGGTGTGCAGTGTCAGCTGTCCGGTGCCCCTGCCGATGGACCCTGCTTCGGTCCACCTTCCCATTGCACACAAAATAAGCAGAGCTGAGCACCCACCGCTCCCAGTTCCAGCACTCAGATCACTCTGTGTACTGTGCCACTTCTGCCGAGGCAAGGGGAGTGGCACCATGCTGCCCCCCTGAAAAATGCCGCCCTAGGAAAATGTTTTGTTTGCCTCGCGGTAAATACGCCCCTGGAGGAAGGCATAAAGTAGAACTTCCCCTTTAGGGTGAAGTTCTGCTTTAAATAATTTTCAAATAAAATACAAATACTTCATAAGTTACTATAATAAATACTTAAAACGAATAAAGTAAGACCAAAATAAGGTTGATGTGCCTATGTACTAAATGTGTCAAATATAAGCTTTTGTAAAGCAGCTGTGTGGTTTCCGTACTTCTACAGTTGCCACATCCTGACTTAACTGTGAACTGCTACCTGCTTAGTATTCACATGCAATGCCAGTAACCCGCGACACAGTAAAATAGGTCAGGATGTATCTGCCCACAGTGCAGTAACAGCATGACAAAATAATTGCTTCAGAAGTTAAATTGTACTTTAAATGTCTATTTTGTTAGTTAGTCTGGTCATTCTTCCCAGTCACCGCATCATGACTGCATCTTTATAGCTATGAAATCTCTTAGTAAGTTTAAGCAGGGGCATCATACTCATTAGATAATCATGGTATTAACAATGAGGCTATACAAGGGTTGTGTATGGCCAAGGTGGAGGAAATAGCGAAAAGCTAGAGCCTTTTTTAACTTTTCTATCATTTCCTGTGTGACAGTGAGTGGGAAACTTCGAAGGGATCCCCAGATAGCAATGAAAATCAAATAGGGATTCTACTCCCCTACTCTATCCAAAACAAAAAAAGAAAGTTTTGGTTGGACACTTTGCTTTCTATCTGTCCCCAGTGGCCAACTCTATGGGGGAGATATACTAAAGCTGGTGCACTCACAATCTGGGGCTTAGCCAATCAGCTTCTAACTTCAGCTTGTTTAATTAAGCTTTGGCAATAAAACCTTTAAGCTGATTGGTTTATATACAGAGCTGCACCAGATTTTGCACTCTCCAGTTTTCGTAAGTGACCCCTATGTTTATTATTTTTACAAGTGCTCAGACCTCCTTGATTTCCTTGTGTATATGCTTTATTTTCATATCCTTATGGCTGTTTAAAGGATAAGTTTACCGTTATTCCCTTTTTCTAAATTTCAGTTCCCCTATGTACCAATTTAGCATTAAAGCTACTTATTTTGTAGAAATTCAAAAGCTTTTCAAGTTTGCTACCCACCTTTATGTCACTGTCCAAAAAGCTTTTCCATTACTTCTGCCTTATTTCCTGCAGAGACTTTAGATCATGACACAGGAAGCAGTTGACCAGCTGACCTGATAAGCACACACCCAACATCATTACCCTCCTACCCACTTCCAGGTGCATGAATATTATATATATTATTTTTCTACTTTAACTTTCATCTTGCATAGCTCATTCATTTAGCAAAAAAAAAAAGGCAAACTCATTCTTTAATACTAGAAGTAAGCTACATATGTTTTGTTTTTAGCTTTTAAAACGTATTGTACATTGAAATAAACCGGGTAATATGTTTACATAAAGACAAATTGAGACACATGTCAGAAAATGCATTACAGCCTTCATCAGTAGGTGGTGCCTGTCTGTAATTTTACTTTTAGGAGTAAACAACTACAAACTTAACCTAAAATTTAACAACTTTTGTACTCTGTATCTGTCAGTAATTAAATTTAGTAGAAATTGCTCATAGTCATAGGCTATCTATACATACAGTCATGGCCAAAAATCTTGGCACCCCTGCATTTCTGTCAGATAATGCATCATTTCGCCCAGAAAAGTGTTGCAATTAGAAATGTTTAGGCATTCTCATGTTTATTTCTTTTGTTTGTATTGGTATGGTACAAAAAATTTGAGAAAAAAAAGTGGCACCTTCACAAATTGTAAGAAATAATTGCATTGCAAGTTTGTGATGCTCCTGTAATTTGTAAATAAACTGACCTGTATCAATTAATAGGTGCTGACAATATAGAAATCACACCAGCAACCAGTTCATCTGGGGCAAAATTGACTCAAAGAAATGTCTGAGGATTTGAGAACAAACATTATGGAAAAGCATAGACAATCTCAAGGTTACAAATTCATTTCCAGAAATCCTAATGTTCTTGTGTCCACTGTGCGCAACATTGTCAAGAAATTTACAACCCATGGCACTGTAGCTAATCTCCCTGGACGTGAATGAAAGAGAAAAATTGATCAAAGATTGCATCAAAGAATTGCTTGAATGGTGGCTAAAGAACCTCGATCAACTTCCAGACAAATTTAAGTTGACCTTCAGGCACAGGGTACAACTGTGTCAGCTTGCATTATACTTGACCATCTGAATGAAAAGGGACGCTATAGTAGGAGACCTAGGAGGACCCCACTGCTGACATAGAAACATAAAGACTCCAGATTGGAGTATTCCAAAATTTACCCGAGGAAGCCAAAATCCTTTGAAAGAATTTGCTGTGGACAGACAAAAAAAAATTACAGCTTTTTGGTAAAGCCCATCATTCTACTCTTTCAGAAAAAGAAATGAGACCTTTAAAGAAAAGAATACAGTCCCTAGAGTCAAACATGGTGGAGGTTCATTGATGTTTTGGGGTTGCTTTCCTGCCAAAGACTACCAAAAAATTCTGGCAGGCAATGTGGAGCCCAGTGTCAGAAAGGTGGGTCTCTGTTAGAGGTCATGGGTCTTAAAGCAGGACAATGACCCAAAGCACACGTCAGAAAGCATTCAGAAATGATTTCAACCAAACCGCTGGAGAGTACTGAACTGGCCAGCAATGAGTCCAGATCTCAATCTCATAGATCATCTGTGGAGAGATCTCAAAACAGCAGTTGGAAAGAAAGGAACCCTTCCAGACTGAGAGACCTGGAGCAGTTGGCAAAAGAAGAGCGCTCCAAAATTCCAGTAGAGAGGTGTAAAAAACTCATTGATTGTTAAAAGAAACGATTGGTTTCAGTTTTTTTTTTATTAAATTGAAGGTGCCAATAACAATTTCCAGTCCATTTTTGGGGTTTTGAATGTGTCAGATTTGGCTTTTTGTTTCTCCACTTTTTTGTGTCATACCAATACAAATAAAAGAAGTAAATGTGAGAATGCCTAAACATTTGTAATTGCAACAGTTTTCTGGACAAAGTGGTGATTAACTGACAGAAAAGTAGGGGTGCCAATATTTTTGGCCATGACTGTATTTTGTATAATACAATGGGAGGGGGTATATATAGATATAAATATCTAATTCCAGGATTGCTCCACTTAACATTCACTAGTAATTAGAAAATCTGCTATATAATGATCACTCAGAAAGCCTGAACTGACTGTCTAAATCAGGGGTCCTCAAACTTTTTAAACAGGGGCCAGTTCACTGTCCCTCAGACCGTTGGAGGGCCGGACTATAGTTTAAAAAAAAAAAAAAAAAAATATGAACAAATGCGGACACAGTACAGGAGATGACCAGAGACTGCGGACATACAACGGTGGCGGGAATACTGGGCCGGCCGCTCCATAAGACATTTCCCCCCAAGTGTGTCTTATGGAGCGAAATAGTGCCCCATCATTGGTGTCAGTGGGAGGAATAGTGCCCCATCATTGGTGTCAGTGGGAAGAATCGTGCCCCATCATTGGTGTCAGTGGGAAGAATTGTGCCCCATCGTTGGTGTCAGTGGGAGGAATAGTGCCCCATCATTGGTGTCAGTGGGAGGAATAGTGCCCCATCATTGGTGTCAGTGGGAAGAATCGTGCCCCATCATTGGTGTCAGTGGGAAGAATTGTGCCCCATTGTTGGTGTCAGTGGGAGGAATAGTGCCCCATCATTGGTGTCAGTGGGAGGAATTGTGCCCCAACATTGGTGTCAGTGGGAGGAATAGTGCCCCATCATTAGTGTCAGTGGGGGGAGGAATAGTGCCCCATTGTTGGTGTCAGCGGGGGGAGGAATAGTGCCCCATCGTTGGTGTCATTGTGGGGGGGGATATTGCCCCGTCATTGGTGTCAGTGGGGGAAGGGGATAGTGTCCCAACATTGGTGTCAGTGGGAGGAATAGAGTCCCATCATTGGTGTCAGTGGCAAGAATAGTGCCCCATCATTGGTGTCAGTGGGAGAAATAGTGCCCCATCTTTGGTGTCAGTGGGAAGAATAGTACGTCATTGGTATCAGTGGGGGGGAATAGTGCCCTGTCATTTTTGTCAGTGGGAGGAATAGTACGTCATTGGTGTCAGTGGGGGGGAATAGTGCCCATCATCATTAGTACGTGTCAGTGGGGGGGAATAGAAGTGGGAGGAATAGTAGTGCCCCATCTTGGTGTCAGTGTGCCCCATCTTTGTGGTGGGAGGAATAGTACATCATTGGTGTCAGTGGGGGGGAATATTACCCTGTCATTGGCGTCAGTAGGGGGGATAGTGTCCCAACATTGGTGTCAATGGGAGGAATAGTGTTCCATCGTTGGTGTCAGTGGGGGGGATAGTGTCCCATTATTGGTGTAAGTGGGGGGTGGAATAATGCCCCATCGTTGGTGAAAGTAGGGGGTGGAATAGTGCCCCATCGTTGGTGTCAGTGGGGGGTGGAATAGTGCCCCATCGTTGGTGTCAGTGGGGGGAGGAATAGTGCCCCATCGTTGGCGTCAGTGGGGGGAGGAATAGTGCTCCATCGTTGGTGTCAGTGAGGGGAGGAATAGTGCCCCATCATTGGTGTCAGTGGGAGGAATAATGCCCCATCATTAGTATCAGTGACACCAATGATGGGGCACTATTCCTTCCACTGACACCAATGACACGTAACTTGCTGACCCCTGCTCCAGCATGGTGCTGCTGTAGCCAACATACCTGGTTGCAGCAGCACCATCAGCATGGCACACTTACCTGTCAGCTGTCCTTCTTCACTCTGGCCTCTCCACCACTTGATGTTCGCGGGGCCGCTCTGCTCCGCCTCCTCGCAGGTGATTGGCCGCCTGTGTGCCTTTCCTGAGCTACAGTTCTGGCGCCCAAATCACCGGTGAGGAGGCGTAGCCAAGCGGATGGGTTGCTGCTGACACCTAGCTATACACCTTGATAGAATACTGATAAAAATAAAACAAAACGGTGCTGCGCTCCCACACATAAAATATTCAATCAGAGTGAAGTTGATCATATTCCCCTTATGAATCCTCCTGTGTATATTGATACAAAATCAATCCTTCATAATACTATACAATCATATACAATAATATGTCTACTATATTAAATGAACAGAACCATAGAAAAAAATGGAAGTGAAAAAACACACAAAAAAAAAACATAATACATAAACCCACTTGTGTCCCTAAACAGGGTGAAACAACAAATATAACTATACCACACGTGATAAAACACTTGGCATGAAATAAATGCCCAAAGGTGTAGTGAAGAAATAACTGACAATTGGCACTATTGTGGCTATATGAACAAACAATGGGGTGGTCAGAATAAATTAACCTGACTAAAAGACAATGCACAAGGACTATTAAAAAACCTTCCACATAAATGTGCGACTAACACGTGACAAGTGCCCACATAAAAAGGTGTATATGTATATACCGTGCTCTAGTCCCCAAACTTGGGACTATACTGCTAAATAAATAGCTGAAAAATAAGTGAATGCACAAATAAAAATCAAGTGACTCTAAAGTAAACTCATACCTTCAATAAATATGCAAAAAAGTCCACAAAAAAAGTGCCACCAATAGTAAATAAACAAAAAAAAAAACGTCCACGTGTGTAATCTTTAATATAGCTGAATATACAGTTGCAAGAAAAAGTATGTGAACCCCTTGGGATTACGTGGAGTTTTGCATGAATTGGGCATAAAATGTGCTCTGAACGTCATCTAAGTCACAACAATAGAAGAACACAGTCTGCTGAACATAATACTACACAAACATTAGATGTTGCCATGGTTTAATTGCACATAACATGTGAACATTCCCAGTGCAGGGAGGAAAAAGTATGTGAGCCCTAGCTTAATGACTTCTCCCAGAGCTAATTGGAGCCAGGAGTGAGCCAACCTTGACTCCAATCAGTGTGATGATATTGGATGTGTTGCTGACAGCTGTCCTTCCCTTAAAAAATACACACCTGTTTTGGGTTTACTGGTTTCAAGAAGCACTGTCTGATGTGAACCATGAGAGCTCTCAGAAGACCTACGATCAAGAATTGTTGACTTGCATGAAGCTAGAAAGGGTTACAAAAGTATCTCCAAAAGCCTTGATGTTCATGTGTCCACGATAAGACAGACTGTCTACAAATGGAGAAAGTTTAGCACTGTTGCTACTCTCCCTAGGCGTGGTCGTCCTGTAAAAATGACTGCAAGAGCACAGCGCAGAATGCTGCATGAGGTAAAGAAGAATCCCAGAGTGTCAGCTAAAGACCTACAGAAATCTCTGGCACATGCTAACATTTTTGTTGACACATCTACAATAAGGAAAACATTAAACAAGAATGGAGTACATGGGAGGACACCACGGAGGAAGCCATTGCTGTCCAAAAAGAATATTGCAGCACGTTTGAAGTTTGCAAAAGAGCACCCGGATGTTCCACAGCACTACTGGCAAAATATACTGTGGACAGATGAAACCAAGATTGAGTTGTTTGGGAAGAACACACAACACTATGTGTGGAGAAAAAAATGCACAGCACACCAACATCAAAACCTCATTCCCACTGTAAAACATGGCGGAGGGAGCATCATGGTTTGGGGCTGCTTTGCTGCCTCAAGGCCTGGACAGATTGTTGTCATTGATGGGAAAATGAATTCCAGAGTTTATCAAGACATTTTGCAGGAAAACGTACGACCATCTGTCCGCCAACTGAAGCTCCACAGAGGATGGGTGATGCAACAGGACAATGACCCAAAGCATACAAGTAATTCAACAAAACAATGGCTGCAACAGCACAGAATACGCCTTCTGGAGTGGCCCAGTCAGAGTCCTGACCTTAACCCGATTGAAATGCTGTGGCATGACCTTAAGAGAGCGATTCACACCAGACATCCCAAGAATATTGCTACAATGAAACAGTTTTGTGAAGAGGAGTGGTCCAAAATTACTCCAGATCGTTGTGCAGGTCTGATCTGCAACTACAGGAAACGTTTGGTTGAGGTTATTGCTGCCAAAGGAGGGTCAACCAGTTATTAAATCCAAAGGTTCACCTACTTTTTCCTCCCTGCACTGTGAATGTTTACATGTTATGTGAAATTAAACCATGGCAACATCTAATGTTTGTGTAGTATTATGTTCAGCAGACTGTGTTCTTCTATTGTTGTGACTTAGATGACGTTCAGAGCACATTTTATGCCCAATTCATGCAAAACTCCACGTAATCCCAAGGGGTTCACATACTTTTTCTTGCAACTGTATAGAAAACTCCAGCAATAAACACAAATATTGCAAGTGAAAAAAGGTGGGATCCTTCACCGGTAAGACTGCCCCCTTACCTTCATGAAGCGACCCCACAGGGTAAAAAAGCTTTCATGGTATTAGGCACAGCCAACCGCTGAATCCTCCACATCAGATTCGGTATCACAAATAGTGGTGGTATTCCCCTTCAGAACTTACAGGTATCACCGATCCTAATCTCCGTGTGGTTTTCATATGATCTAATTACAAGTCAGCTTTCTCATCAGTGTTTATAAAACAAGAAGAAGAAGCCTTCCATTGTGTGATATTGTTTCATTTATTAATATATTTAAATACAATAAATGCTCACTCACATGTATTGAGTAAAAAACATGCTCACAAATCCTCATAGGAACTCCTGGGTGTACTCCTATGGGTGTATCAAAATGGCACTTGCGCCGGAAGTGACATCACCACATCTCCGTCTCTCGTCTCACGTGTTGCGTCACATACCATGTGACTTCCTGATGGCAGCTTGGAAATAAAAGTCAATATGTAAAATCTTCTCTGGTATATTTATGTGTAATGCAGCACCAAAAAATAAAGTGAACTTAACTGCAATGAACCTATATTTAATACCAAAAGGAAGTCATCAATAATAGGCGCATTTAGTGCTTGGAGTGTTAATTCACTTCAGTGGCCAGAATAAATTATTATATTGCCATATATTTGAAATACTACAATTTTGGCCATGTTCAATGTATTAAAAAAAATAATAATAATATAAATATATATACACACACACACACATACATACATATACACACATACACATATACTGCATGTTGAAATGCATTTTTATTACAAAATATAAGAAAAATATTTTTTAAAATACATTTCAAATATCCTGTATGTCTTTAAATATACAAATCTACATTTTTGGAATGCATTGTACATGTAAAGACATACATGTTAAAATTACGTTTTTTAACCAGCAAACCACTATCCACAATGGTGACCATAATGTTATCTAGAATTTATAGTAGTACCATGATTCAAGAATTAGGATCTATAATTATAAGTAGATATTGTAAAGAGAAGGCTCAGCGCTAAGGATAATGAAATTACCTCTGATATATAAAAATATAGCAAACAGTATAAGAATATGTGACTATCTTGTGCTAAAACAACATGCCAAAAGAGTCCTTAGAAATAACAAAATGGTGATTCAAAACGTGCGTCTTCTGGTGATCAAAATTAATTGAATCATGCACTCACCAGATGCATAATTCAAATATGCATGTAGATATTAATATCCGGATATCCAAGCGAATTCATCTTAAAGTCGGATATGGCATCTTAAGGTCACCGTCTAGGCACATCTGTCCGTCTGTCAGCTGACACACTCCCTATGAATACGTGCATTTAGCACGAAACGCGTCAGAATAAGAGCAGCATATCCCAGACATCACGCCACCGCATGGAGCGGCGGCCATCTTTGTACACCTTTTATGGTCAGTTTTGTTTGTTCAGTCCTTGTCTTATTTTGGATCAATAAATTTTCGTTTAAAACGATATCACACCATCCTGGCTTTCTTTCTTGGGACCCTGTTGAGTCCACCACCCGCAGGGCCACCTGGGAAGACAGCTGAGAGGTGTTTTAGTGTGGAAACACACGATCCATAAGGAGAGCTCGGACGGACAGATGTGCCTAGACCGGGTGTCGGCAACCCGCGGCTCCGGAGCCGCATGCGGCTCTTT